GACTATTCTCGATATACTTAGATAGAATGGTTGATTTTTCTTTTTCATTTTAGAAGTTACTGCAACCAACCTCACATTGTTGGACACGAAGGAAAAGGAACAGAGACATCGGGAATTACTGGAAGAGACTGTGGCAGTGGGAATGATGTTCGCTTCCAAGGCTTTTGTTCAATTGTTAGCTAACCCAATAGTGGGTCCATTGACCCACAAGTAAGCCTTACATTTCTTACATTCACGCGACTATCTTTTATTTCGAATATATTATGATTGATGTGAGAAAGGTTTGTCGTGCATTCGTTACAATCAAGTTGAGATCAAAAGTGTGTAGATCTAAAGATAATCATTATCAAAACAGTCACTATTAATTTCAATTAATTTTTTTAAAGCAATTTTTCGATCTCTCTTCCAATTTTTCCTCTTTCAGATTAATATATAAGTTTTTATTCAAAAAAAAGCTTAGTAAAAAGAGATAACAAATTTATCTTCTTCATATAATATTAATAAAGCACAATATAGCACAAGTAAAGCATATCGTACGATCATTTAATAATTATCATTTTAAGTTTAATTTAAAAAGTCTAATTATTTGTTTTTAGGATCGGATATAGCATACCTATGTTTACTGGATTCATTATTATGTTCCTCTCCACGCTGATTTTTGCCTTCGGACGAAGTTATGGTATACTTTTTCTAGCGCGAGCTCTTCAGGGTGTTGGTTCGTCGTGTTCTAGTGTTTCCGGTAAAGGCTTACTGCTACTTATCTATATTGTATGTAGCCTATGTATGTTGACCTTGTGTTTATGACAATTTTTTTATTAAAAAATATAGAAAATTTTTATGTTCGTCACAGCTAATTCTCACAATTCTACGCAAGCATCGGTGGTTCAGTGGTAGAATGCTCGCCTGCCACGCGGGCGACCCGGGTTCGATTCCCGGCCGATGCAGAGAAACTTATTTTGCCTTGAATGCATTCTACCACTGAACCACCGATGCTGTTGTAATAAAGCTAGGTCTAATGTCTAATGAAGTAGTGAGTGATCGTAACACTTTCTTTTATATAATTCGTTATATGATAGGTATGGGTATGCTAGCGGAGAGATATCAAGACGACAAGGAACGCGGTAATGCAATGGGCATCGCTTTAGGTGGACTGGCTCTTGGTGTCCTTATCGGCCCACCTTTCGGCGGAGTAATGTACGAATTTGTAGGAAAATCTGCCCCGTTTTTAGTCCTTTCCGCATTAGCCCTTGGCGATGGACGTGAGTACAAATACATTCGCGATAAAAAATACTTATTATGCATAATTGATAAATTATGCTCAATGTAAATAAGTTCTTAGAAAAAGCTCAATAAAGTTTTCTAATATATGTAACTTACGTTACTTTTATATCATATCATATAATATCATATTCGCATTAATGTCTATTTTTATCGTGTTAACGTAGATCAAATTTAATTTTTTAGATCAATTTATTTTTTTTAACTCTTTATCTTTTTTAAATTCTTAGAATTAAAAGAAAAAAGAATGGACATAAATTATATGTCAAATTAGTTGCCATTAAGAAATAAATAAAAAATTCTTACTGATTAAATAGTAATCTTTTTAATAATAATCAACAATCCTTTGCGAAATCCTCAAGTATTACAGCTTTTGATGCTCCAACCATCGGTCGTGTATACGGAAGCGGAACCACCATCGTTGAAATCCCTCATCACCGATCCCTATATCGTTTTAGCGGCTGGTAAGAGAAATATATCTAATCGAATACAAAATATGGATGGATCGATGTTTCACGCTCGAAGCAAATGGATGCAAGCGCTTTGGTGTTTCAGGCGCGATAACATTCGCAAATATGGGTATCGCTATGCTGGAACCAAGTCTGCCGATTTGGATGATGGACACAATGGGCGCGAGTCGCTGGAAACAGGGGGCCACGTTTTTACCAGCGAGCATCAGTTATTTAATTGGAACAAATCTTTTTGGACCGCTTGGACACAAAATGGGCAGGTCAGTTCGGCCGGATTCTTTTTTGAAACGCGCAAAACTATCCTAAATAATAGTAAAAATAATAGTAAAAGCGTTTATTTAATGCTCTACATCTCGCGCGGTCGAGTATCAGATTTTTAATCTAGATCTAGATAGGATTCAAGTCCATGTTCGGGCAAAGATATCGCTTTGCAAGAAGAATTGACATCTTTATCGCGACCTTGTATCTTTGTTACAGATGGTTAGCTTCTCTGATAGGACTCGTCGTTATTGGCATCTGCTTGATGTGCGTAAGTATAGTATATATTACATTGAAAGAGAATCATTGAAGGAGCAAAATAGTACGGAGCGAAATAATTTCATAACGACTCGATTGAAATTATATATGTATAAAGAAAAAGAAAGATTTTGCTTAAATATCTGAAAATTTGACCAGATACAGATTTGAAAATAATTTTGTTGAACCATCAAAGTAATTATAAAGGATGCTCAAATGATGACAAGACTGCAAAAATTTTTTACATATTCTAACGAATTTAAATATACTACATAATTATTTTGATGTGGTCCAACAAAATTATTATCAGGTCTGTATCTAATCAAATTTTTATATATCTCAGCAAAATTGTTTCTTTCACGCACAATAAATCGTGATATAACAATGCACTTGTAAGCTAGTGAAATTGAAAGTTATAGAATAAGTTATAATAAGTTAAACCGGTAATAAAATCTCGATCAAAGCTATCTAATTTTACATTATTTATTTTTAATTTTCCGCAGATTCCGCTAGCGAGAAGTATCGATCACTTGATCGTACCAAATGCGGGGCTGGGTTTCGCGATTGGGATGGTGGATAGTTCGATGATGCCCGAATTAGGATATCTAGTCGACATAAGACACACCGCTGTTTATGGAAGTGTTTACGCCATCGGTGACGTAGCGTTTTGTCTCGGCTTTGCAATAGGTATGTGTATGCCTAATCGGCTCTCCCATGTACATATCTTTCACATTTCATCCTTTATTCGACAAACGCTAATGAAAACGCGATAAGTTGAGATAAAATGATTGTTAAATTGTTATCAATGCAAAGTATTGGGTGCGTTCTATCTCAATTGAAATTGTTGTATAAAAGCCTCGTTGATAGAAACCGATCCAAAATCTCGGACAAAGAAAAACTGACCAATCGCAATAGCTATTTGAACTATTTGAGCTATTTGATTAATTGATCCATACATTTGAGGTCACTTACAAATGGTCACTTTGTAAGCTATAGAGAATTCGCATCAATATTCTATTTATGATTTTATGTGTATTATATTTAATGTAAAAGAATTATAAGTCAAACCATATGTTCTGTATACGTATTAAATATTATACGTATTAAATATGTATACGTAATCAATACACACATATAAATATACACACAAATATATATATATATATATAATTACATAAAATGTAGATTGCACATGTGTATGCAAGACAGATGTCATATCGAGTTTAAATAAAAATTTATTTAAAATTAATAGAGCGAATTTTTTGCATAAATAAATGTCTAAAATAAATTTTAACCGAGGCAATACAAATTTAACAACAAAATTTTAAGTCTGCATCGGCCGGGAATCGAACCCGGGCCGCCCGCGTGGCAGGCGAGCATTCTACCACTGAACCACCGATGCTTGTGAGAGGACACTCACTTCTGTTCAATTAACACGATTATTGATATATCTTTCAATATATTGGATTAGCGACTTAGTGAAATTCGTAATATGCCTAGCGGGATATAAACATGATAAAATTTTTTTTCTTAAACGATAAAAATATTCTTTATATTTTCGCAGGTCCGGCGTTGAGTGGAACTTTGGTCAACAGTATTGGTTTTGAATGGATGCTTTTCGGCATAGCTATGTTAAATTTCATTTACGCACCTCTCATGTATTTCTTAAGGGCACCACCCACCAAGGAGGAGAAAAAGGTAAAATTATACCATATATATTTTCTTTTTGACTTGTTTGAAAGAAAATGTATCGTTAATTTTGAATCGTGTCGAATTGCAGTCATTAATAATTGGTGAGAAATCATCTGTGCGTTATGTCACTTATCAGAATGAGGAAGAGGACCAGTAAAACGATAATTCTAACAAGTATTCTCTAATAAGTATTCTCTACAATCAGTTTCATTCTTGTAAAAAGTAAAAAATGGAGATTAATTCTACATTATCTATTGGTATATATGTTATCGCGTATTACTGATTTTTACGTATATCTTAATTATCGTGATAATTCTTATCAACTAAGGGAAGACAATAATATATTTTTCCTCCTTCTTCTATTATTTTCGTATTCTTTGTTTAATATGCTCTCTTATTTCGATAATTAATAAGAAACTACAAACATCGACAATAAGCACAACTGTTGACATGCACTTGATGAATATTCGGCAAATTAACATGTAAATGTAAAATTATTAGTAATCGAGTAAAGTTTTCCTAATAGATAATCGATAATTTCAAATAGAAAGAGACGAAGAATCTTTTGAGATGGACTCGTAGTCGCACAACGATATATTTGGTGTGAGTGTATATAGGTATAGGTATATATATATATATATATATATGGATGCTTTGGCATATATATATATATATATATATATATATATATATATATATATACATATATATATTCGTTAGACGTGTTTCAAGATATATGTGAGAAAAGAGTAAGCACACGATGCAAAAGTTATCTTTAAATGTGAAGGCTTAAATTCAAGATATTATATACGTACGCATATTGTACATGCGAGCACATGTTCGTCATAAGATAAATGCATCGAGAAAAATATGACTCTCTATTAAGCGTGAAGCGGAAGAAGATATACATATAATTAAGGGTTCACCATTGACCGAGATATAAAATTGTAATTGTGTCGGTGTTTAGCGTAAACGCGGGACGAGACAGAACACGATAATCAATATCGCGTGTGATCGGTACATTGGTGCTCTCTTTCTCTCGGT